AGAAAGCACGATTCTGCCGCCGGTATACTATTTTTGCTAGGACTTGTAACAATACCAGTTATATGCCAAAGAAGCATTCTAATGAAGTATATTTATTAAGAAATTAGCAGTACTAAACAATACGGTCGGATTTTGGCTTGCTGATTAGTGCGCAGCAGTGTGACTGCCAAGTATCAAAAGGGAACAACGCAGCAGTGTGGCTGTCAAAAGAGATACAAAAGGGGAAATGCAGCAAAACGAGGTCGTCGCTGCTTTCACAAAACACCGAATTTGCAAGACAATCAATGATACATAAATACAAAAAGCATTTTAAAGAGTCATCTCTCAGGGTACTAGAAGTCGCAACACGGTGATGTTGTCCGCTACCAGAACCTATCCTCAAGCTAGAGCTTCTCTATCGAATCCTCGCTGGACGCCTAAAAAACAATGATGACACGCAAAAACATCCATTGAAAGGTTGCAAATATATTCGAAAATTAGAAAGATGTGATCGTAAGATGTAGGGTTGTAACTAAAAGGGTTCCTAATGCGAGCGATAACCACGTTCTGTATGATGACTCTGTCTAGAGATCGTTATTAAAAGTTTTATAATTCTGTTCTTAGGAGAAGACCTCTGATAGGTTTGTTAAACAGTTGCCTCAAAAATGAAACTCATCACTCGATCACTCACCGCAGGTGATAGCGTATGGCGAGAACTCGCACGCACGAGTACCGCGGATGACGTGTCCGCCAGTGTAAGTAGATTCACGGATCCACCAACTGTGTGGCGGTACCCTGAAGAGATAAAAAATAATGAAGTGAAAAAACTGGCGAAATAAAAACCAAATCTAGGTCATTACTGCGTATATCGTATCAATAAATAGATCGCGATCCAGCTGATGACAATCGCATGACCAAGAAAGACAAGCTTTGTTCGTAAACTTCAAACATCTTTCTTTCTTAAGCTTTGCCTGTAGCTATTTCACCCCTTTTCGGATCATTTCCTCTGTCGGGTCTCATCCAGTAAGGGGGGGGGGGCATTGTGATGCAACGTCAAGTGGCTGCCCTCACCCCCACCCCCTAGACTGCCTTCACTCCCCCTGGCTCACGGGGTCCCGTACTTCGAGAAACCTGTGCGCCAGGGGGAGTGTAGGCAGTCTAGGGGGTGGGGGGTGAGGGCAGCCACTTGATGCCCCCCTTACTGGATGAGACCCCTCTGTCTTCTGCTACTCTTCTCAAAGTATTCAATTTCCTACGCTCTTGTTGATTTGTCCACACTGGGTGTGAGTCGCCAGGACGAACAACTTTTCCTCTTTTCTCAACGCGGACCGTTTTTCACTGCGGGAACCTCAGGCCCACTCACGATAAGGGGTAGACCTGGGGTATCCGCAGCAAAAAAAGCTTCGCGTTGAGAAGAGTGGAAAAGTTCACGTTCTGTCCTGGAAACCCACCCCCGCCTACGCTTGCTATCGTGTTGACAAGTGCTTTTCACACCAGCTCAAAATAGCTTAAGAAATAACGCATAAAATATCATAGTGATCCAAAATCGAGTAAGCCCGCATAAGGAAACATACGATCTGCAAATTCGGTGAGAAAAATCTATGTAGCTCTATACGTAGTGCACAAGGTCGTAACAAGTCGCCCTGTGCGATCATGCGATTCTGAGATCGCGCAAACGTGCGACTGCATGTGTGACCAAACTCAAAAAACTCACGATCGCAAGATCTCAGAGTCGTCTCAACTAAATGTAAAAAAATAATTGTCGTCAGCAAAAAAAGAAAGCCTTTGAATAGATTCTTACCTCCTTTCCTGATTGTAAGAGCCACCTGGCTCCTTGCTGCGAAACACTCCTTCGGTGGACGTAGAAAGTTGCATGACATATAAATTAATTCTCTCCGACAACATCCTCATAGAACCTTAAATAACATTTCACACAAACAACATTGCCATACTAATCATAAACATATTAATATGATCAAATGAGTAACAAAGGATATCGGAAGGATGTAGTGGAAAAATAAGAATTACCTCCACCGGTCAATCTCTCCATTCTTGTCATTCTCTTCCGCGAATATTTCTTTAAAACTTAACCGAGTTGTTGTTGTTCATCTTTGTTAATGATGCCTACCTGAAATAAACTCAATAACTTTCAGTCAAATATAAAACTACAAAAGAAACGATGAAATTGACTTTTTTCAATTTGAGCAGTTCCCGCATTAGAATACATATGTGCAGGCGTCAGCCTGGCACATATCAATGGAATAATGACAATACGAATTCTGCGAAAAAAACTGTTCGTAAAGAAGTCGAACTGATGTGCCTACGCAAACACTTGTCTCCATGCCTACACCACTGGTCAGTACCACTAGTATTCCAGCAAAAAGTACCTAGTAAAAAAGATAATGTACAGAAAACATCGCAAAGAATATGAAAAACACTGACCCCGCAAGCAAAGCTAACAAAAAAGGAAGAGAGAACAATTCAAGACTAGAGGACGTCGTCTATTGGCAAGTTGCCGAGCTAGCCTACTTGCCAACAAAAGACGCGGGATACGGTAGATGTCGCGCCCGCATCGCGGCGGAATTTGCCGCTCCATTTGCCGCGTGCAACCCCGGACGCACCAAAAGTCCGTCGCCCTCATAGCCCATGTGAAGCAGTTCTCCGCTAGGCTGGAGGAAAGTCTCGGGGCCACCTAGCGTGGAACCGTTTTCGATTCGGTCACAGCGATAACTGCCACGGCGTGCGGCGTGAGTGAGCTACTGTCACGAGGGTTAGCAACCCACCGGTCCGCCCTGTGAGTACGAGAGTGTCTAGCAAGTATTCTCGGAAAGCAGCGCTTATGACCGTTATGAATAACCTTGGTGAAGAATGGAGGTGAACGTATAAGGCGACTGGTTCACGAGATGTTGAAAGAGGATGACAATGTGACGGATGAAGATGAAGGTGTGACGGTCCTGGAGTTGCGGCAGGAAATGATAGCAGCCTACGCCAGATTTACATTGTCACCGATGACACTGTGGAGGCTACTTAGGGTCTCGGATTTTCTTATAAGATCCTGAAAGGGCAGCGCTACACATTTGAGCGCTCAGATCTTGCCCGAAAGAGGTCTTTGTATCTGAGAAAGATTGAAGAAGCCAGAAGTCGAGGGGACTGCGTGGTATA